AAACATCTCAATACAGGTTGCTTCATAGCTGGAAAAGAATTGATGCCCCCAGTCTTTCATTCCTTACACCTTGTTCCATTAAGAACTTGGATGGGAAATTTCCATTTTCCATTATTAATATGCCTGTATTTTGATGAATATGGTTTAATAAGGGACTCAAACTCAAGTCTCTTGGGCGAAAGTCTACCAGCCAATTTTTTCTCTTCTCTGTAAATGCAAAACTCATTAAATGAGGTGATAATGGCCCACTAGGTCTACTAGAGGAGATCTCTACTGACCCATATGGATGGTCTGTGATGATAACGGCCATCGAAAGGGCTGAAAACATCTAAAACACGGTTTTGCTCATAACTCTAAAATTTATGCACTACGTCTGATAAAATTCGATAACATGATGTGATTTGAATGTAGTGATGAGTGAATGATGATTCTGTAACCAACAGGTGAAAGGTCAAGACTGCACAGGCATGGATGTGTGGTAAAGTTTTGATAAGAAAAACAACATTTTATGAGACGTTGCTGATATCTGGGGGTTGAGGTTTGAAATCCAGCTTGTATGCGCCTTCTAGAAAGTTGATTTTGCCCTTTTTGTTTCTATTTTTTTCCCTAAATCGAGCCTTTTTGTACATGCCTTGAACATGTTTTCATTCTGTTTGTTTGCTAAGTCAGTGCTGTTTTTTTATTTATTTTAAAAAAAAGCATGAAAACCCCACAGTTGAGACGGATCTCTTTGCAGTGAGGAGTGGGTGTTGCTGCCCTCCAGGCTACACGGTGCTACATGAATCTCTACAGAAGTAACAGCAATTTTAACCAAATCATCTGAGGGTTGTGGGAACAAATGGGCAACGGGGCCTCGGCGAAAAGATTTTCTCGAAAATTCAGGTGAAATATTTGACATTTACTGCCGAGTATTGAATAAACAATAGGAAGGTAGTTTGAATAATACCATAAAAAGTCCGTTTTCCAGGTTCAGGGGTTCAGTTCTTGACACCGTCGGAGGTTTTCCCTATGCTTAGCGCTTCCACTCATTTGAATTTTATGGAAACCATCGAACTCCGCTGTCTCACCGGTCGCCCTGTCGCTTCCAATCGCCGTCCCTCCCTTTAACTATTCACTTAAAACGTCACCCCCGGAACTCATCGCGCGCAATTCAAAGCGGCGTTGTGTGTTTTGGTTAACGAGGACAATTGGCGCTTCAAACGAGGAGGTGAAGTGTGATTGTCAGAGGTTTGCCGGTGGATGCTCATTTCTATTCCCTGTGAAGGCGGGAGCTCTCGCTGTGACGGAGCAGCTGGGGGTCGGTGAGAGCTGAAGCCTGACTAACTTGGCCGGTTTCCCTTGTGGAGGCTGAGATCAAATGAAGCGCGCAGCTCTGTCTGTTTCTATCTGCGTCGTCTTCTCTTTGTGCTTGTGTCCGTCTATCTGGTGTTGCTTTCCATACGTTTCTCTTTCAGTCTTTGTCTTTCTGTCCCCCATTTCTTTGTCTTTTTTTTTTTTTCCCTCTACCTTTTTGTCCATCGCTCCCGACTTCTAATCTCTCATCTCTTCGCCACTTTCGTCCACTTTCCTCGTCTCATTGTCCTTCCGTCTCCTCCCGTCCTCTGTTTCACTCTCCTTTTTCCCCGCTGTGCAGGGAGGCCTTTGATGCGAGGCTGATATATATTCACGCGAGTCATTCATCAGCACCATGTCACTCTTAAAGCAGTGAGTAGGAAGCCAGATCAATAAGATGGCTGAACGGATGGATCTCTTAAGAGTCCTCTTCAGCCCTGGAGAGATAAGGGATTTTTTTTTTTTTTGAATGGATGGCTCTTTAAAGAGTCACACAGGGTGGGCATGAGGCGGGGATTGGTGGGTGGGAGCGATGAATAAAGATCTGAACGCATCACAGCCAGTATTAAAAATGGGCAAAGGCATTTAGATTGGAAAGGTGGTAAAACTTTGGAGAGGAATTTTGCGACGGGTCTCGCTGGAAGGCCCGCACGTCTGAAGAAGTTACGCTTCAGTGTGGTAATTAAATCCACTTCAAACCCCTGAAAGTGGATCCGCATGTATTATTCCTCCAACAATAATAATAATAAAAAAAAAAAGAAGATACCCTTGAAACAATAATAAAAAAAAAAAAGTGAGCAGTTTTCAGCGTCAGTGTTTTTAAACGTACACATAAATCAAAGGCAGTTACCTCTTCGCCCATTGATCAGCTAATCTCGTTTTGAATATTGCAGCATCCAGAGGCCTGGAGGACGGCGGGATGCAGCGCAACCGAAAACATGACTTCACTCTGTACTTTTCAATTAAATTTGACAAATAATTTCTCGCAGCAGTGTTGCTCTGTTGATAAAAAAAATATAAAAATTGCCTCCAGCTACAACAACACGCCAAAATTCGAGGCCCGCTAGGACTGCTCGACATCACGTTGAATGGAAAACCCATTCCGTGTGCGAGGCATGTTGACTCGGAGAATTAAAAATGGAACCATGTGTGTGGAAATAAACAGCAAATAGAGTTCTAGATTATGGGGAAGACTTTTTGTTTTGTTTTAAATTGAGCCGTCCTGGATGATATTAAATGTTTAATGTTGAGGTTCTCTTTATATATATATATATATAGTAGATGTTTTTCCCGGAGGAAACTGTGAGTCAGTGTTTGGATCACTCGTGTTGAGGCACTTTGCCATCATTGCTGCTGATACTTGGCTCATCAGCAGCAGGTGCCAACACTGATGTGAGCTGAAACACAGGAAGTCTGGGCCAGAGAACTGCGGGGAAGCCGGCGGAAGATCAGCGAGAGCCGTGACAAGCTGGAACTGAAGTTCAGATTGCTGGAGATGTCGCCTCAGATGTACATGCGCGCACGCAGACACACTTTGCCTCCTCGTCTCGAGTGCAGTCAGGGAAAGTCTGGGAAGCCGGGGAAATAACACACACACACACACACACACACACACACAAACATGAGCACGCACAGCGACACCGCTAACAAATCATGTCTCCGAGACGTGTCACCTCAAGGCGTTTTTGTGTAGAGTGCAAAGAACACTCGGGGTTTTGATTCTTTGTATAGTTTATTTGCGCAAATGTGGAAAACACTGGAAATGGAGCAGAAAAATAAAACATTAAGTGCTCCAGCAAAAAAAAAAAAAAGCCCGCAGTGCAGAATAAAACATAGCAAGATGGCGAAAAGGAGGGGAATAAGTTAGAAATAAGCACAGGGCAGGCAGGAAATAAGTAAAGTGTGATCGTGAGTGGAGGTGTATACATGCAAGGTAAACAGGAAACAATTACGTGTCTGGCTGGCCGCTCTCCAAGGCCTCGTGGCAATTTGATGGAAAGTGCAAAGTGTTGTCTGCAGCTTTTTTTCTTTTTTTTGCTTCTCGTGTAACTCCGTCTTTCATAACAGCTGCGTCCTCTGGCTGACATTTAGCACTTACACCTTCCAACCTGTGAAACTCTGACGTCATTCTCAGCTATTTTAATTACTCTGGTAGCTTTGGTTCTACACCAGGTCACATTAGAAGGAGCAGGTTGGGTGTTTGCATCTTGTTTTAAGGGTCTGACATAGTGCAAATCCGCTTTGTTTTCATTGTGTTTCATATGTTTTTGTATACTTTTGCCATCCCTCTAAGATAAAACCTCCCAGCTTTGCAAATCAGTATGAATTTAATCCAGTTTCGATGTGTTGTTGGCTGCAAGAGTGAACACAACAGTCTTCATGCACTCCCAGCATCTGAGGGGCTGAAGATCCAGTGGATTGCTTTTGTTTTTGATGGCAGTGTCAACAGATCGAAAACCCTTGTATGTTGTGCGGCTACTGTGGCTAACGCTACTGCTAGCTTTAAGCATATGCCCAGAGGTCTGTGGAAACCTTTAACGCTGTGGGACATTCAGAGATGGTGGAAACTTTCATTTAAAGCCAGTAAACAAGGACTGGGTGGGTTATTGTGTGTTAATGTTGTCAGTGTCAACTTAAACCCAGCCGGCGTCTATGTTTATTAGCTTCTCTCCTGCTCTCTGTGCTCACGTATGCTGGTTTATCATACAGCTGAGTTTCTGTTGTTTTCTGTTTCTGTTGTCAGACAACGAAACGAGTATAAAAACTGAAGAAGGCAGGGCTATATCAAAGCTTAAATCCGGATTTTATCACCGCAACATGGTCCGACAAACTCACCAAAGATGTGTAAAACATGGCTGTGCTGTGATTTTGACGATATTGCCATGAATAATGATCACTCAGATAGAAAGTCCTGGTCTCTCGCACTTTATGTCAACTACTTTTGCTCCTTGTTGTGAATCACAGATGCAGGGGGAGTTTTCTTCCTGAAGGTTTGCAGGAACAGCAGCTGCTTAGCTACAAACATTAAAACAGCCAGTTTATAATCAGACTAAAACCAGGGATTATACAGTAATGGCACAAATGAAGCATCGTTGCAGTATTTTGAGTTGAAAAACTGAAAGACACATTTGGGAGACATGTGAGACTTTCATTAATTTGCAATAAAGGACACAGCGCTGGACCTTTAAGTTGTAAAAAAAAAAAAAAAAAAAAGCACTTAATTGCTTCTAAAGTCCATTTGTACTGTATAACCTCTTTAGCATCTGGTGATAACTTTCCAGCTATTGACAGAAGAGGTGATTCCAGTCAACACACGTGGCACCGATGTGTCAGAAAGTTGTATGTATAATCGCAGAGCCGCGGCACATTTTATTCCATCATAGGGAGAGAAAACCCCACATTAAGCTTGGTCAACGAGCTTCAGACCTGTAGCTCATTAAATAATAATAGCGACCGACGTGGGCTGGAATCACCTCCTCTGTCAACTGCTGTCAAACCAGAACACACATGAATATTCATACGCCTGAAGAAGAAAACCATGAATTCATTTACAGAAAATGACGCTCAGACGATGCCACATTTTTTATTTTTTTTATTTTTGCATCCTCTCTCTTGTTCTGCCTCCATCACCTTTTTTTCTGACTCGTGTCTTCGTCTTCTGCCCACAGCTGCTTCCTCTCGCTGCTCCTGGTGGCCGCCGTGGTTTGGAAGATCAAACAGAGCTGCTGGGCGTCACGGCGACGAGAGGTAAGTCAGAAACTTGTGCTTACAAACAAATATTGATTTTTGTTGCGGCGGGGAGGGGGGAGCTGCTGCAACCACATAAGCACATTTCTGGTTATATTTATTTTTGATGTTGCTGTTGGAGCTCTCTGGTCAGCCGAGTATAAAAAGATTACGAGCTGAGGGTTTGCACGTGGAAGTGTCAATACACTCCGCAAACTCTGAGGCACCTTTTGGCATCATCCAACAAGTATCTCTGCACGTCAGCAACAACACGGAGCGCCGCACTTTGTGGCATAAGCGTATTTTCTTTGATGGGTTCCCGCCGTCCAGACTCGCGCTGGAATATATTCAAGCTTATGAGCTTAAATCATCCACTTATATGATCAGAAGACACGTTTAATAGAGAAGAACAGGGAAATTTCTGCTTTTCCGTTTTCCCTGTCAATCTTCGAGTTGCCATTTATATTTTCCTCCTCCTTCGACTGCTTTAGCTGCTTCTGAGAGAGCGGTTGTAACTGTGTCAAGGAGCGGAAAATTCACAGACGATAGCTTCACTATGCCTCCAATTCAACTTCTGCCCTTAAAACTGCTTTAAAGGTATGCGCAGAGAGAACAAATGCATTGTACGCTCCCCCAATTTGCTCACTTGACCCACAATCGGGGCTGCGAGGTGAAGCAGTGGTCGCCGGTTCGCGTCCCGGTGAGGACACCCGGGATCTTTCTGAGTTTGCATGTTCTCCCCGTGCAGTGTGGGTTCTCTCCGGGATGAAGCGGTGTATAGATAATGGATGGATGGATGGATGGATGGATGGACCCACAATCAGTTGTGTTTTGTGTGAGTGTTCAGCTATCTAATGGATTAAGTGTATGGAATTAGCTCTGTGCAAAGAATCACAAAGAACTGTGCGATTGCAAACCGAGCATTTACACCAGCACTTCCTGTTTCCTACTGCAAATATTTAAGCTAATGTCCTGTATAATCGCATCGTTTCGCTGTAATTTCTGCCTCTTAGCTTTGCAAAAAGTTCGCGCTAACAAGTCATTTTTCACTGCCAGGAAAACTGTAAAGCACCCAGGGAGCTCCAGACATTCAGACGTCACCGTCACTTGCTATTTTCAGAAATGTATTTTTAGTTTTCAGACTTCTTCAGCACCACATACAGTATGATATTTATCTCTCTGCTGTGAAATCCCACCAACTGAGAGCAGAACACACAAGCTTGTTCTGATCACTTATGATGCTCAAACTGCATTCATAATTCGCCCAACAATTACAATTTGTGTCTTTGCTTTTAGGAGCTTTTTTTTTTTGTTGACTTCTCTGTTTGGATTTCTCCACATAGTCCTGTGATGTTTCAAAACCAATCGTAATGTTGCTGCTTATGTAAATTTCAATTATCGCATTACGTGTAGTTTTATTTCTAATGGAGGCATGAGTTTTTGTAGCTGCTGGTTAATGTGTTTTTTTTCCCATTCATTATCTGGAGGAAGTATCAAGAGATCATCCTGCCCACCGTACATTTTATCAGCCGCCGCAGATTCTCTCTAATTGCTGCAGTCCTCCTGGTTCATCAATGAGCACGCTAAATGCACACTAAATCATTTAAATCACAACAGCCCCGCAACCATTAAGTGTTTGGTTGTTGTTAATATTGTGAAACAGACATTCATCCGTGGCCGCTGGTGAAGCTGCACATATTAGCTCTATTGTGACGGCGTTATGGTGAAGCATGCTTCCAATGTTTTTCCCACATCCACTTACATCGCATTAACGGGGAGGACAGAGTGTTAAAAATGCATCAATGTAATGCTTTTAAAGTTACTGATTCAATCTATTCTGACTTCTATAGTCCTAACCTCTCATTTAAACTCTGCGACTTTAAGTCGTTTGAATGCATTTTCTCCACACAAACAAGATAATGCAGTGCCCATAAAAAGTATTCACCGCCTTGGAGGTGTTCCCCGTTTATTCCTTTTCAACACTGACTCCTTGTCAATATAATTGAACTATTTGAGAATACTAATAATATAAAAAAAAAAAAAAAACAATTAAAGGCAAAAGGAAAACAAGGTTCCAAAAAAGAAAGGCAACAAAAAAAAAAAAAAAAAAATAAACATAAAATAAGTGATTGCATAAGGATCCACCACCTTTAAAGTGACTCAACTAATGCAACTAATGTGTTTCAAGTGATTGTATTACAAAGATACCGGTCACAGGTGAATCAGCACCCCTGGATATAACTACACCCTAAAGACAAAAGAACACTCGAGGTACCTCTATGAAAAGGTTATTGAAAGTATAAGTCAGGAGATGGACACAATTTCCAAGTCACTGACTATCCCGTGGAGTACGATTAAATCCATCATTAAGAAATGAAGGGAATGTGGCCCATATGTAAATCTGAACAGAGCAGGAGGTTCTCAATAAGAAAGCAGCAAGTGAGGAAGGCCACCAAGACACCTATGACTCCAGAAGGAAGCTTCAGTGGCTGAGATGGGAGAAACTGTGTGTAAAACAACTGTTGCTTCTTCTTCAGCAGTCAAAGCTTTATGAGAGAGTGGCAAAGAAAAAGCCTGCACCTTGAAGTCAACTCTTGGGTCTGATGAGACTAAAATTGAGCTTTTTTGGCCATCAGACTAGACACTAGATTTGGCAGCCACCGAACGCTACACCGCATAACAAACACACCATCCCCACTGTGAAGCACGGTGGTGGCAGCATCATGATGTGAAGCATGGTGGTGGCAGCATCATGATGTGAAGCATGGTGGTGGCAGCATCATGATGTAGGGATGCCTCTTGCCAGCAGTCCCGGGGGAAGATTTGTTTTACACCACTGCAATGACCCAAAGCAAAACCCACACAGAAATAGCTTTAGCTAATATATCCACACAGGCTCAAAGCTGTAACTGTGGTCGAAGGTGTATCAACCAAATACAGATTTAAAGGAGGTGAATACTGATTTTGCGTTTTATATTTTTTACTGTCACTTTGACATGAAGGGTATTATTTTGTAAATTCTCGTCCAAAAAGCCTAATTAAACTGACGATGTTTCAATGTTAAAAAGTAGTAAAAAAGGGAAAACTTCCAAAGAGGATGAGAACTTTTCATGGACACTGTATGTTCAAAGTAATGGTTAAAAAACTGCTACGGCTGAAAGGTAATTTCCAAGGGCAATGCTTTTAGTCATAATATTAAATGTTGCAGGTTACAGACTGTTAAAAGGCAACTCTCTCTGTATCCAGCAGCTACCAAAATCCAAACCCCGAAGCCTGAACCCTGAAGGGACTCATGAGTGTATTGTTTGGAAATTATTGGCGTCCTGCTGTCGGTGTTTGCTATAATTCTTGGTGTTGTTAACACACAGTTAATCTCTGCAGTGTGAAAGATTAAGTGAATGAGTTTTTGAATCATTTTTAAACCTCAGACATGTAAACAAGCCTCTACCGTCAGCGATAGGTTTATTAGCCGGTGAGACAGGTTATTAGCTAGCTTGGAGATTAAAGGAAAACCCAACAGGAAGGTGTTGAGCCACCGTGTCAGATGTGAGATTCCTCCACAGATCATTTCGAACAAGATGTTGAAATCTGGTGACTGTAGCATAATTTTAACTTATTTTACAAGACATTCATTGGCCCTATGGATGGTGTACCCAAACCATACCACCAACATTCCCCCCCAAAGCATCACAACGCCACCAGAATGTAGAGGTCAAGGGTCTGGGCAGCTTGATGGGAATTCATCTTGCAGTGGTGGCCTTCCCTTCCAGTTTCTCTGGCAGTTTACAAGAGAATATTTATTAAACACATTCAGCCACAAAGCCAAGAGTATAAACCCGAATGAGCAAACACGATGGCAGCTATTGCAAACACGAATGGCCTAAGAGCGAACCCTGATGAATGTTTCATCAAGGTTGCATTCAAGGACCGGCGCTGTTCGGTCCGCACTTCATCTGCCGCCACTGGGAGACATTGTCAGCGTGTTTTGAGAAGAGCGGTGTCATATATGCCAGTCCTGTTTAAAGTCTAGTTTGGCTTGCAGATTGTGTAGATGAGGCAATGTTTTAATTACTTAAACAAAGATCTTTAAACTCTTAAGAACGTAACATCAAGCATCGGCCTATTCCCTTTCGTCCTTTTTATCCACATTAAAACGGACAGAGTGCAATAGATGCCTGAATCTTAGGCAACTTTAATTCTTGTCTTTTTTTTTTTTTTCAAACTATGCCTATAAAACTTTAAATGACATAAACAATAGAGGATCGAGGATAAAAAGGCTGACCAGGTTTGTCAAATAGTTTGGTTGAACTCTGCTTTATTACACATCAGACATGGTTTTAAAGTCCTTCCATCTAAGAATACATTGACATACTGACTAGTGCTGTCCTGCAAGTGTCAAGCAAGTTATTGATGCTGCACCTGGAATAGCATCTGTCCACAGAGGCATGAATGAGGCGCTTATGTAGTCAACCTGCAGATGTGTCGATACCCCCAAACTTCGCGAACATCAGCGGGGCTCCTGACAGCCGACGCTTCCGAAATTTCCTCTTTTTTCCGAAAGCGTCATTTCATTTTAAGCTGTCAGCCATCGAAAGTACATTACTGGAGAGCAGCGACCGTGATTAATTGTTCCTATGGTACAGCGCGTGGTGTCTTTCAAGCTGCACTGAGTCAACTGAGAAAGCTCAAAAGTCAATAATTTTTTGAAAGGACTGAAGAGAGGATGCCAAAGCAATCTGCCAAACTGTGGGAAGCGCCGCAGCGGGCTCCACAAAGGATTGGAAATCCAAATTTTCAGGTCTTTAACAATTCTGCAAAAAAAAAAAAAAAGACAGGAAAGAAAGAAAAAATTCTAAACATCTCACACAGTTTGGAAAACATTTAAACTTCCACACTGCAGGTGGACTGACAGCACACAGAGTCTCATGCATCAGGCTTTGTGCTTCACACCTGTGGATCAGGAAACAAGATTATTAAATACAATGGGATAAAACTGAAGCTTCGGAGACATTATCCCACTT